CCCGTTCCTCATGCTTGTGTATTGCCCACAATTCACGTTTTGTGGATCGGTATTCTCGTGGATAATAGTGCGACTTGAACCATTCTCACCGAGTATATGTTCAGTGAGCTTTGCTTATGCTTCGTTCTTGATGGCGTGAAATAAGCTGCTCATTGAAGTAATTCATTAATATTACAAAATAACAGTCAGTAATTGAGTGTTATTTTAATTCTTATGATAGCTCCGCATCACTACAATGGTAGTAAGACTACTAGCGATAATTAGTGTTAATTTAGAACACATTTGATAGTGTTTAATTCATTATGATAGCAATACTTATGTTGTCAAAACTGACGTTTAGATCTTCTACGTTGTCCAGATCCATCTATGCAGCTAAAAGAAGTCATCATTCATATTGAACAATGTAGAAATGAGCGCAAAAGTAACCAGAATGAGCGTGTAAAGGGGCATGCGGCACAAAGACTCCCGTTTGTGTATTGCACGCAATTCACGCGCGCGGAGACGCAGGAAGTGAAAACGGGAGTCGCCGCAAAAACGCCGCGGCGTTCAATGTGTTAAAGGCAGTTGGCACGACAAATCCCTAGGATTAATACGTCTGGTAGGACGGAAATCCGCGGCCCTGAGTAGGGGCTGCGTAACGCCTTTTCCATGACGGTACCCTTATAAGGCTCTATCAAGCTAAAACATACCGACCCGAACGCCCACCCGCCCGCCCGCCCACAAATGGACGACCGTACCTGATGCTCGTATTGCTTCATTTGGGAGTAAACATGAAGACAAGGGATTGATATGAAGCGTCCGCGGTGCTGCATGGATATATGAGTGAGATGAAGCTGGATATACCGTAGCGATCACTGACAATGCCAACGAGAAGCTCGTCCAAAATTACTTTTTTTGTCATTAAGTCTTTGACCTGCTAAGAAAAGACTTTGTTTTTCACCATTTCCCCACTTTCTAGCATCCTGCTAGCATTTATGACCGGGTACCAAATTATCGTGTCAACTGCCTTTAACGCATAACGTTGCAGTGGCCGAATGGTACCAGGCCTTTAGATGGGTCTAGTGGCCTGGCGCATCCTGAAGAAGTTACTTATTCTTATTATTTTGTGACTGTTTTATATCTACCTTCCCACCCTTACTAAAAGAAACCACTTGAAGGATATTACGAATTGGGCAGTCGGTTGGGTGGATTGGAATATTTGCTTGGACATGCAGGGTGGTCCGAACTGGGTGAAGAACTTCGTCGACTCGCCGATTATTGTCGACGCGACGAAGGTAGAGTTCTACAAACAGCCAATGTGGTACGCATTGGGTCACTTCAGGTCAGTTTTATTCCCATTAGCGTTCATTTTTGTGTGGAATTGGAATGAAGTTTCATAAACATCACAAGAAAATTTTCGTGCATAAAGGAGATTGCTATGCACAGAAAACGGCCCTTTTCGCGCCACGCAGAGCCCGAGAGCGGTGGCGCAGGTCGGCATCCGAAGTTCGTGGTCCTGCCAGGACGAATGAGTATGGGGCAATCCTACATCCTCTTGGTAGATGTTAGATCTGGTGCCATCTGCGCTATATGAAGGTGTAACTTGCATTGCAGAAGTCACCCCAAGTATGGCCTCCTTAAGAAGGAAGAGAGGGTAGTAGTCAGCCTGCAGAGACAATAGTGTTCGCTGACAGGTTGAAAGTTATGTGAGAGCAAGCGAAAGGATTTATACTGAGGGAGATAAGTCGTCCAAGGTGGGCCAAAAAAGGACCTTTGCCCAAGGCACATATCAGTAAAAATACGGAGTCCAGAAAGGAGGTGAGGATGCGAGTACCAGGGCGGACGATACCCACCCATGGACAGCTACCTGAAGACCGGCACACTTGATCTGGAAGACCTTAAAACATCGAGCAACTCCGACATAGTGGCTACGGTCCAGGATATCATCTTCGCTGCAGTCGCCAAGGTACGGGTTGATGGTACGGACCGGAAAAGTGAACGCTGGCGGTCACATCGACCAACTCGAAGAGAATGCCCTTCATGTCGTCGCCTGTACCAACTTGGAAACTTCGCACTGCTACAGGATTGGGTGCCAGCACATAAATCTAACGGCTCTTAGAAAAAACTCTCGCTTATTTGGAATCGGAGGACGTTGAGCACCTGAAGAAGATGGAATATCCAAGTGTGTCACCTGACCTAAACCCCCTCGATTACCGGGTTCGGAGGAGCTCAACAGGGTGGTCTACAGTGGCGGAGAAATCAACGACCTCGCTGAACTCAGGCACCGAATCACGGTCGCGTGGCAGAATCTCTCGATGGCGTTCGTCCAGAAGGCTGTGGCGGAGTTTCGTGATCGTGTACAATGTGTTGTTGAATTTGATGGTGAAATGTCTACAGGATTTAATAAAGTGTAGTGAGATGTAAAACAGTAAGTGCTGAACCCCTTTTGCTCAGCTAATATCCAGTGATAATGTCTTTTCTTCATTCATTCACAAGATGTCTTCACTACTTCCTTTCGGTCTCGTTCATCTTCCATTTTCTTTTCTTTTTTCATCCGTGAGTGTATTTAGAATGATGATCCTGTATTCCAGCAAATTTGTTCGACCTGACTCGCACAGAATCCTGTCGAAGTTTGATTCAACATCACATAGTAGCGTGAAGCAGGTGGCGTTCATCGCACCGGACGACAGCAGGGTGGTGGTGATCATCAATACAGATGAGGTAAATAATGTAACATTTACTCGCAGGTAAAACTCACACACTTGAGGTGCCATCTTTAGAGTCGAGCTGGAATCAGAAACTGAACACTCAATTTTTGCTTCCTAGTTTCTTCTTCCAAAATGATAAAAAGGAAGCAATCCTAAAG